TGGAAAGAGCCAAGGAGAGGCTACACAGGAGACTGTCAAAAGTATTCAAGAAGGCACAAAATTTGCACTGCATTTATGTTCAAGAGTCACTTGGGAACTTCTGAAATTCCATCCATCATGAAATTTTGCTTTATTTTGGTATTTGCAATATGTCTGCCTTGCTTAGCCTGAGTGTGCAATATTCGTTACTATATTGAGCCTTCTGTTTTCCTCACTGGGAAACCACCAGGGCTTGAAACACCACCCAGTTTATGACTGAGGCTTCCCCTTGCAGTTCCTCTGTGGCAGCCGTGGGTAATGCAGACAAATACCTTTCTGCTTCTCCCAAGACTTGCACCAGCTGAGTAGGCACTAGAGAATGGCATAAATCTCCTGTCTATTCCTCCTTTCCCTCCCTAACATTTTTTCATCTTTAGTTTCCAGAGAAACCACAAGGTTGTTCACTGTCTTGTTAATTCCCCTTTTCCCCCGTAGCTTCTGAACCTGAAAGCTGGTTCCATCTGCCTGTTTATCTGTGTCACAGCAGTAGGTATCTCAAAATATGCGTCTGTAAATTTAGAAACACTGGTGTCAGGAGAGAGAGAAGGCGGCCTTTGATGATGCTTTCCTCCAAGGAAAATCTGCTTGAGCTTTCCCCAGCACAACCTGCCATTGCCCACACAGGTAGGGAAGGTGGGAGGACGTTTGGGGATGCCAGTGAAGGAAAGAAAAACCAGGCTCCTCGTGACAGGGAGGATGGGATGGTGCCAGACACCTTCCTAGGACACTGGGCTTTCCTGGCTGGTTTTGCCAGGCACGTGTTTGAATGGAGACCGGGAAAATGTTTGAATGGGACAGTACTAACAAGAAGTGTAAATATAATTGTCAGCAGGATGTGGCTAGCACATGGTCTGGGCTTTAAAAGCAGGGCTTAGAATAAGGTGACACGGGTACGTCTAAAATTTACCTGTGTTTGCTCAGGAATCTGCTTGCATATACTCCCTCCCCCAATGTGCGGAGGTGAAATTTCACCTCTGGAATCTGATACAGATGCATAAATTCCAGCTCCCTCCAGAGTCCCCTCTTCCCATTTCACATCAAAATCTGTCACTCTCTTCTGCTGACTTGAGTCCCAGGTCTTAATTTTTCCTCTTTGTTTTCAAGTAGAATGTTAAAAGACATAATTTTCACTGCTACTTTTAACGTCATTAGGAAGAGAGTGTCACAGGATATGTGACTGTATTAAAGACTGTTGAATTACAGTCCAGCATTTAGATGGTAAAAACCTGTACAACATTTTTCATTGCTTTCTAAAAAGAAAACTTAGGTACTTATGGTTCGTTCCTTCTTGCCAAAGTAATATTTACCGATGCTAGATATTTCCTTGACCTGTCTTTACAATGCAACAAGGCAGAGCAAGAAAGAATACAGTGTGATATCCAGAAAGGGCTCTGTTATCTACTTCAGTCTTTAAAAATGCCCTTATGATGCATCCTCCCACCACGCAGAATGCGTTTGTGCTTCCTCTTTTTATTAACCTTTGTTTTGTCCTTCTGCTCTTAGTTTTGCTCCCAGACATTAGTGTGGCTATATTTGGAGGTGAGATAAATTAATTTGTTGCAAATCTGATAAAAGCTTGATCTAGGAAGACTGCACAGAGAGGGGCAAAAAGAGCAGCTTGTGCCACTTTGCTGCACAGGAATGCGTACATCACAGGAAACCATCAGCGTGGGTGGAATGCTTTAGCGTGTTTGTCAGTGTGTTTTGAATAGTGTCATTAAGTAGAGCAAAATCCTTATTTTCACGGGCCAGATAATCACTCGTGTTTTCTTAAACAATGCACTAATATGTTCCCTTTTTGGCAGACAAAGAGAATAATGCGGTGCTCATTATTGTAGCCCTGCAACGGCAAACAATTCATGTATATAGGTGTGCAGTGGAAGCAGAAACATGGGTTGCAGAAGGTTTATCTGAATACTTAAAACTGACTCTGAAATTGGCCTGGCTACACTTACACATAGTTTGCTGGGACCTCTAACCTTCTGCACCTGCATCCAGGGAGAACACAAAGCTAAGGTGATTTACGTGCTTTCAGGTTTGGCTTGGAAAAAATAATGTTAATTAGTTCAAAGTAGGCTGCCTTGAATTACCTCACGTTTACCACAGGGAGAGGAAGGAAGGAGAGCCAGTATGCAGATAGTTACCATGGAGCAGGTGATATCTATATCTATATATATGTATATGTAAGCTTGTTACCTTGTGCATGCTCTTACCTTGCAGTAAATGAGCTTGCAAAATCTGAGTAATTTTAAATCCCTAAGGGATGGAAAAAGCTCATTGTGCATTTGAGTAAATATAGCATGCAACTCTGCTTTCATGCAAACATCTCCTTCCAGTTCTGGCTTGGTTTCACTTGTTGGTTAGTTGTACCACCAATGCACGCTTATTTCCAGAATTATTCCTTTTTGCTCCTGCTTCTGCCATATGATCCAGCTCAGTGAGAAGCAAAGAAGTAGGCTCCAGATATTGGTACTTGATGACCTGGTGTTCCTTGGCTCTTCTTCCAAAAGGGTATGTTTGGGCAGGCCCATTTGCAGGGTGTTTGGCACAGAACTGGTACCCTGGGTGGTTGGAGTCTGGGAAACCCGGGGAAAGAGCCGTATTTCTTATCCTGCCCTCAATGTGCTTGTTGTATAGATTAATTTTACAGGCACAATCATGTGCTCATATGTTAAGATGGTTGTATTTATGCAGTGTTGCTGTTGTAAATAGTTGGTGTGGTTATCTATGAATGCAGCCTTTTATGGGGATGTCAGGCAAGGTTGAGTCCAGGTCAAGCCACTCTGGAAAAACATGCACTGAAAACAATTGTGGGGTAAAATTGTGCTGTACTGCAAATAATTCTTATAGCAGTGCTGTACTTACACCAGTTGTACTTTCCTGCTTGTTTTAAAACAGGGTTGGAAGAGGGTGCCACGATGGAAGATGTGTATTTGGCGTCGGTGGAGACAGACCGAGGCGTGAAGGAACAGTTACGACTTTACGACACCAGGGGTCTGCAGGAGGGCGTAGAATTGCCAAAACACTATTTCTCTGTCGCTGATGGCTTCGTGCTCGTGTATGCTGTGACCAGCCTCGAAGCTTTCCAAAGAGTCGAACTGCTCAAAAAGGAGATCGACGTCTTTAGAGACAAAAAGGAGGTAAATGCACGGTGACTTAACTGCTTGGCTTATCGCTGCGTTAGTGACAGGAAGTTAAGGTTGCAAAGCATAGATTTTGTTTCTGCAAAACTCGCATATAAAGAAAAACGAATACAGCCACAGCCTTGGGCAATCTGGCAAAAGGAAGCTTTCTCATGCTGGAGAAGCCCAATTCACTTGCCATGCAGGTCATGCGAAAGAATGTGGGGTTTTTTTTCCCTCCTTACTTCCTCTACTAAAGCTAAAATTCAGTTAGCTGAATGCACCAGCCAGAACACTTATGACTAATAAAGCATATGGTCTACAGCAGTGTAATTCATATGTTTTTTTAGATATTGTACACGGGAAGTCAAGTGCATAGAATAATATAACGAAGGGCATTATCTTTGTTTGCTTTGTATTCATGTACTTGATGGCTTGCAAACTGGTGTAATTGACAATGGGTCTCCCAGACATTAGTCAATTGGCAAAGCAGCTTTAATGTATTTTAACAACCATATTGAATCAATTCAATTGTGTGAAATGACTGCTCTATTTTCCCTTAGAAAGCAGCTAGTGTTTTCAGCTGACAGTGTTCCAGCTTAGCTAAACAAATATAACTTGCATGTGGCATTAGCATTATGGCTTTTCCTACAGTATCTTTATATTCTCGAATAGTTCTCCCTGGTAAACGTCTTTAGCCTACAGCTTTTCAAATGACTTTTTTATGCTGTTAAAAAAAAAGTGCATGAAGAATTAATTGGATAATGGTAGGGAGAGACTTTCTGAAAAGGAACTTGTTTAGCACTGACAGCACATGGGGTGGTGGAGGAGGGCAGGCTCCACATTTGACAGCAGCCAAACATGCAGTCACAGGAGAGGAATGGTGGCTGGTAGGGCTGGTGTGAGCGGCAGACTGTCACGTGCACCAGGGATACAGCAGTCGATCATAACTCCCTGCAGGGAGAAAGGTGGACGAGCAGGAAATTTTTCCCAGGTGCTGTGACTTGTGAGTGCCCTGATTTGTTACTTTACAGCATGTTGTAATGTGGAGAGAGGGTCACAGCCCCAACAGGATCTGTGTCCCTCTCTTCTATGTTACCCACCAGAACTCTTCTCTCTGGTTGCAGGCAGGTATTTTAGAAAACAGACAATTTGCTTGTACTCTGGGAGAGCTTAAAGTTGTAATCTTGACTGAGGATAACATAGCCAAAAGACTGGTGCCCACAATAAGCTGGATAAATTATGTTTATTCCAGTGATTTCTAGTCCATGTAAATTAGAAGCAGAAGGTGAGATCAGGAGTCCTGACTTAAGACAGCATCAGTGGACTTAAAGTTTGGGCTCTGCCAGAATGCATCCTTAACCAAATTAGGGAGGTGTCTCTACACATGGTGCTTCTGGACTGGCAGAACTTCGCCTTGTCAAGTGGCACAGTCCCCCGTTGTGTGGCAGATGACAGAGAGCACTGATGGCTGGTTCCTCGCCTCTGCTGGCTGTGGGGGCTCTCTAGCACGCACCTTAATGCCTGGCCAAATTTTATACTCAATAGAGGTTGTGTTCTCTCATACCGACAGAGCTTAACCATAGGTAAAATTCAGTTGGAGCATGTGGCAAATGCACATGAAGATTATAGCTTCTTTCAAAGCCTCTGCAGAGGGGAAAAACATTTTTCTGACCACCCTGTGCTGCTATAGAAAAGAAAGGAAGCCTCAGACCTCATAGGAACAGCACAAACATCTCTAGCTGGAAAGAAGCAGAAGACATCCTGAAGTTAGCCTGATGAACAGGAAAGAGCAAGCATGTGTGGCTACAGCAAAAACCCCGAATCATCAGCAAGAGAGGACTTTATTATCACTTGGTCTTTGTCAAACCACTAGTGTGGAGATGAGACCAGAGTTTGACTAAGGACCTTGAACTACAAATATAGGCATGATTTCCCCTAAGACCTGATGCCGATAAAACATTTTTAGAAAATGCTTAACTTAAAATAAGCAGGAGCAGTAACTTTAAGTGGCCAGGACTGCCTAGAACTGAAGTAGCGGCCATGCCACTGAGCTCAGCCACACTGTACTATCAGTGACACAGAACTGTCTTGATGGATCCTTACAACTGAGGGTCTGACCCGATACAGCTGTTCTGCTCCAGTTACCCAAATGGCTGCTCTTCAAACTGCTTCCCAGAGGATGGTGCTGGTGCTTATCTGACCCTTTCAGTGACAGAAGACTGTTCGCCTCTGTCCTTCCTGTAAGCAGCCAGCTGGGCTGGGAGAGCAACTGAACAGCTCAGCCTGCCCAGCAGCCACCCTTATGGCAGGGTTGGCTTTATTAGGAAGAAGCGAGCTGGGTGAAATCCACAGCTGTGGGGTCCAGGCTTTTTTGCTGCCCTGCATCTTTTCACCTCTCAAGCATCTGCTGCCCTGACCTATGCAGATGTCATGCTCTTATCGTTTGTCTAGAGCAGCTCCATTGCAAAGTAAAGGGAGAACAGGGCTGCTTAACTTTTGTTTTCCTGGGTATTGTTTCCCTTTAAGCAGTCGGGGAGAGAAGGGGAAGCCCTGAATATCTTGCAATTAAAACCAGCTCCCAGCCCACAAATAGATGAGGCTAATTCAAATCCCAGACCCAGATCTTCCAACTACACACTGCTTACCTTGTGCCAGCAGTAAGTTAAAGAACAGGCCTGAACTGTGTTGCTCCTTGCCTGCTGTTTAAAAGCATTGTGAGTGGTGGATGCTTTTTGTGTAAAGCTCACCCTTTTGTTTTGTTTATAGGTAATGGTTATTGTCTTGGGAAATAAAACTGACCTCCTGGAGCAAAGGCAAGTGGATGCAGAAGCAGCACAGCAATGGGCAAGGGCTGAGAAAGTGAGGCTGTGGGAAGTGACTGTAACAGATCGGAAAACGCTGCTTGAGCCCTTCACCTTCTTAGCTAGCAAACTCTCCCAGTCTCAGAACAAATCAACATTTCCCTTGCCTGGAAGGAAGAGCAAAGGGAATAACTGTGATAATTAAGCTACCTTAACGTTGTCTGCTGCTGTCAGGTCACAGCCTAAGTCCTTTCTCTGCCATTTGCTTCTCGCTGTTTCACTTAAAGCAATAATCTCATTCAGCAATAAAATCAGCAAGCTTATGGCTAAGAGGTACTGTTCATTCTCATGGACTTAGCTTGGAAAAGTGACTGGTGGTAAAAGCCATAAAAAGCACTTAATGGAGAGGAGTTCTCTTGCAACAAGGGTTATGGAAGAGAGAGAGGCAAGTGCACATCTCTCTAGCAGGGGCTTCGGCTATGCCTGGATACAGCTATGTTGAGGGACAAATCAACAAGCTTATCATTAAGCAATCCCCCTGCAGATCTATAGCCTCGAGTCACAAATAGTTCTAGCTGCAAGAAAGTATTAAATTTGGAGAAAGGATATTTTTCAAATGGCAACAGGACCTTGGCCTTAAACAGAGAGACCCCTGACCACGGGGGCTTTTGATGCTGCAGGAGACTGAGGTCAGTGTGTTGTTGCAGAAGGATTTGGGGCAGGAGAAAAAACCTACCAGCAGATTTAGCCACTGCTGTTCTGCTTGTGTCTGGAAGAAACAAAAAGAAAAGAAACCCCAAATCTTGTGGGAGATACTAGGACAGATCTACCAAGACATGAAGCTTGTCAGCAAAGTCTGGCAAGTAGTGCTTTCAGCTCAGGAATTTATTTGTAAAAACCAGAGAAAGCTCTCAGAGCACTCATTAATTTAACTGCGACCTGAAGGACAACATAGCTGTATGTGGTTTTGTTCCAGCGTGTCCAGTACAAATCAGTCACATTCACATAGGTGATAATTTTACTGAGGAATTATACAGAGCAATTTTGTACACAGGAGGTACCGCCCGGGCTCTGCGTAGTGCATTGCATAATGCTCCTACCCAGCTGCTCAGCCAAGCTGCTGTCATCCATCCTCACCATGAAGCTACAGGCCAGATAACACCCGGTACAAAGTGCTGTACTGCTTTGTGCGAGGGTGCTAGGGAGCGTAGGGGGCTGCCTTTTGGGAACTTCCCCATGGGAAACACCCAGAAGCACCTCTACAAATGGCCTTGGTCTTAACACACTGCACATCGTCCAGCTGCAGGAGCACAACTGCATGTGCTGTGTTTGACTCTCCACGCTGGTAAACCTGTGCTGCAGGAATCTGCTGTCCAGGTCAGTCTGTCAGTAAACTAACCAAAATTGGATATAGAGGGACAGAATGAGCAACTGTTCCCAGAGTGGCCAGCTTTTGGCCTCTAACCACCAAATACACTCATTCATACTGGCTTTTCTTTGTATTTGAAGACAAGAGTGGGGAGAGAGAGCAAACTACTCAGTTCTCTCATTTTCAACTAAATTAATGTTGTTTTGAACAAATATTGAGAATTTCACTGTGAGTCAGCAAAACCACAAGCAATATTTGCACTGTCATATCATAACTGCTAAATAGTAAGTGTGCTTAATGATCACAATTAAGCTGTGCACTTATAGCATTGCTCTTCCCGAAGTCCATCAGCATTACTAATGTCAGAGCAGCAGTAGGATTCACTGAAAATTAGGCAGGTATTCCTACATTTGTAATGAAGGCAGACGAAACTGTTTACGTGCTTTGCTCAATGTAGTTTGGATTGCCGTGGCCGAAGAGTAAGATAAGAGAGCAATTATCAATGAGCAAGCTCGAGTAATGCCCTGCTAGAAACCTACAATTGTTCCCCTTGCAACACTGCAGCTGAGTAAGCACCATAGCATGGCCTCCCCCAACCTAGCCAGTAGTAGTCATTGTCACCAGTGATGCTGCAGAACAACACTCCCTCCTCACTCACTTCCGACCCATCACACGTGTACTCGAGGCTTCTCCCAACCCAGAAGACTCCACATGTGCCTGCATGCTTGGCATGTGAGGGTGACTGCAACCTCTCACCAAAAAATTGGTTACATTCCTCCTCTTCAGCTCTGCAGAACCCATCTTCTAGAAGGGACTTGATTCAGCTTTGGATCAATCAAAATAAGCGAAGATGTCCGCTCACCGCACGTCATCACTGAAGCTGACCCTGGAGCCAAGGAAGCGCATGTTGGCAGGTCAGAATTAACTTAAAACGTGTGGAGATGGAAGGAGTAGAGATAAGTGGTTCCTGTCCAGCTCTACACTCCACAGACTCAGTGCCAAATTCGACTGTCAAGGCTGATGTCATCTGTAGGCTGTCAGAGCTGTGTCGTGTGAGATTGGCTTGCTCCCCTGGACACTCAGGACCTGACATTGCTTTAAGAAAAGTGGATCTTCTGAATGACTAAGGCCATTTTTCCAAACAGATTATGTAAAGGAAAATGTGTTATCTTTGATTTGGTTAAATTAATTATAAATTAGTTTAGATCATTTCAAGCATTCACATAAACAATCACCACCATTGTTTTCTTTCATAGGCTTATTCTGATGCTTTTTAAGCACCCAAATCAATGACGACTTCTAAAGACTGTAGTATTTTATTGACAGATGATGGAAAATGTAGCGTCTCCTCTGCAAACAATCTAGACACAGTGGCTGCTACCGAATCACAATGAAACTCACTGTAGTACAGTTTTACACGGGGTTAATAAGTAAAGTGCAGAGTATAATGTAGTAGCTAAAGGGCAGAACACGTATTTTTTTCTTACTGTTCCACTGACTCAGAACATGCCCTAGGTCACTGGGATCACTTACCTACTACAAAACTAGGCAGTCCCAAGGTAATGGGGAAAAACTCTTACTAAAGAAGAAAGATAAACTAGTAAATGGAACTGTTTTTCTCTGTTCCTCTTAAGCTTCTATCCTACTGAATAAACACTGTGCAGATCAGACACCCCGAATCAGCTCCCTCCTCTCTGCCCACTACAACAGTGATTTTGGCGTGTCCTGGTAGCACAAACCAAGGAACAGACAAAAACCTACTGAGATTGACCCATTTACCTCCTCACTCAGTAAAGGAGGGGAAGAAACGATGACCAGGGATGGTCCTGGTGTGATGTAGCTGTATACCAATAATTTTCCTATGCTGTGCCAGACAGCTGAGGGAGCTCATACACCAAAACAGACGTTGTGTCGAAAGAAGGGAGTTGAGCAGATGAGGCTGACATACTGCTGCCCACAACCACCCAGCACATGAAAGGTACCTCTAATTAGCAAATTACTTTGGACCAAGTAGATTTGATCTGTATACAGGTAGGAAGAGAAGAATCCAAATAAAATATACACAGAGTTTATTTTAAAGTATCAAAATAAGCAAGATGACCACACAGCACTCAGAAGAATGTCGCAATGTGAAGTGCTGTGTGAAAATGAATCTGCACTTCCGGCCTTTACCCTAAGGGAGTGGTCAAAAATGCCATATCCACAACTAACTTCACAACTAACTTCCCTGTTGCTACAGGCTTCACCATAAACACCATGTCTCTAGGAGATAATCTTTGAAGGTAGTTAAAGGATCTACAGATTAAGTCTCCTTTATTCCCCTTTAAGGTGTCTTCTGCTAGCTTACCAGGACATGATTCCTTCTGCTCTTCCACGTGGGAACAGACCACTCTCCATCAGAAAATCACAAAGATCTTCTCTTCTTCCTTTAGCCTCCTGCCTTTTTCCCCTTCCAGATCTCTTACACTGTCCCAGTTATACTTTCAGATGCTGTGCCAGTCCTGAAAAGCCAATGCTGTGAAAACTTGAGCTAAAAAGTAACTAGCAGGGACTCTGCAGCAGGTTTGTCTTCTTGTGGGCCATGCCAGCCTGTGCAACACTTAGACAGTAAACAGCTGAAAAAGCCTCATGCTGTCATTCCTTGTATGTTTGTCTGGAAGTGTCTTCCCAAAACAGCAGCAGTCGGTGCACTCAACTGCAGATCTCCCCTGTCCTTATCCATTCTGTAATCCCCAGAGCGTACTGGGAGATGCTGTTCTGGCAAAATGACAAAGCAAGGGACTAAGCAGAAATCTTTTCTTCTTCTTTTTTTAAACATCTTTTTATTAGCACAGTAACAAATGCAGACTTAAGTAGCCCACAACATACAACCAATCCACTGAGTGACTCCTATTCCACGCCTTACAGTTAAACAGCTTAAGGTATTTCACTACAGGTTGCCGTAAGTCCTGATTAAACCCTTTATTCTTTTCACAAAGATAGATTGGCTTATAAAATAATACATTAACTACTTCTCATTTCATATATGAGGCCATATATCCACCTCTCTGTATCACAGATCATGAGATGACAGTCTTTAAAAAGGATTTGTTAAATACCAATGTGCCCTCCATAGGGGAAAACAATCCCAACATCTTTTTACAAAAAAAAACCCAAAACAACAAAACCAACAAAAAACCCCCTCAGCTCAGAACAAAATAACGCCCCCCCCAAACCAAAAACAAAACAGAAAAGCAAAAACAGTGTGTAGAGTCTTGAAAGGACTTTTACATAAATGTCAACATATGTACCTGTACAAAATTAAGCTGTTTTAATCTTTTACATAATGCAAGCAAACTGGAAACCAAAGAAGTCTAAGTAGTTTACATTCTTCTCGGTACTATATGTGAGCTAATATTGCTGAACTAATTACAGTCTTAAAATATGCTATTCCAAATCCTAGCTGTCTACTGTAGCAAGATACCTTAAGTTACAACAACAAAATTTTAGGAAATAAAAGACTGAATAAAATCTGTTATAGAAATACCCTACTCTTTACCAGCACCCTCCCTCCCCCCACCCCTTCAAAATCATAAGCAGCTCTTTCCATCACAGACAAATAATGTAAGAGTTTGACAAAAAAATCTATTTATGTAGCGTATCTTTTGGTCCACTGTCTGGCCATTCTGTCATGCTCTGCTCTGTTCGTCATATACTGAGTGGCAATGCTTCCAACCAGGGGGTCAGCTGAAAAGGAAAGGAAACAAACTACTTATTTCAGACAAGTTACTGAACAAAAACTTAAAAACAGGACTTAATGCAAAGGAATCACACAGGTAAGGTACATTGCAACAGTCTTAACATACTGAATTGATGGTCTGTATCTTCATTGATTTGTGTATATTTATGGTGATGTACTAATCTATTACTTAATAAAGAGTGAATGCCAATTAAAGTTTTAAGGAGTTTAAAAGACAACAA